AGACTATTTGTTCATTTTTTTGATTTTCGTGAATTATGTCTAAGTGACACTTATATTGAAACGGAGGGAGTACCAATTATATTTATGAAAAGTTATTAAAATTCCTTCCTTAAATGTTTGTGTTTTTCAAAATCTCTTATCCGACTTTGATGACGATTCTTAATATACGTAAGGTTTAACTGACATAATCTGATACACTTTTAGAGATGGTAGAAAAAATATATGTATTATATACGTAATATAGTCAACGCAATATTCTTCTTTATCGTGTTGTTGGTTATGTATATGACAGCTTCGTAAGAAATGTCCGAGAAACAAAGCAGGAACAATATGGTATGACCAATGCACTCTGGATATTTCTACATACAGTGCCGGTGACACCAGAGTCCTCTACGAGAATTATTTCTGTATGGACAACCCAAAGGCCCTGAGCGGAGATACGAAGATGTTCATTGAGAAGAAGAAGGTTTTCACCGATAAGCTATTGTCTGAAGTCAGCAAGCACGGCAAGAACGGCAAGGGGCCACTGTACGCAACGGGGGAGACGATGATCGGGACAAAGACGCTTTTCGGAATGATGCAATGTACGAACGAGTTATATGAGAATAGTTGCTATGTGTGTCTAGACTGGATTATCAATGAACATCCATTCTGCGGCCGTGGAAAACAAGGAGTTAGATATTTAGGTAGAAGCTGTAATGCAAGGTTTGAGCTTTACCCTTTTCTTAGAACGTAAGGCTGTTCGATTGGAGCTCTTTGCTTCATGTTTGAAAGTTGCTATATCAGTGAATAAAAAGTGTTATCCTCTTTGTGTTTTTTTTTTTATAACATGACAACGGTATGTATGGGGAGCTTCTCTTCTATTATTTTGTTTTTTGTGGCAACGAGCTTCTTCTAACCTAAAAATACTCAGTTACCATTTACTGTTTAAACTTTATTGCAATTTCCTTTGAAAATACATCTACGTTTTTATATTGAATTCCAGATTCCGAGAAAGTTACAATATAATGAAGATACAACAAAATATATAACTAAAGTTCTGAGAGCTGATTTGTTCAAGAAGTATTGAGTATCGTCATACAAAGGAAAATCGATAGTAGTACCATAAGTAAGTTCTTGTTCTGTTACCAGAAGGTCAAGTTCTGTTCTGCGTCTTCTAATGAGAAGATAGAGAGAGATTCTTGAAACCATCATTAATGCTGTTTACATGTTAGATCCAAGCTGTGTTCCTTACAAGAGTCTTTTCAACTGAAAAGCAACACTTGACAATCTTCTTGTTCCATCTCCCATTGAAATCAAGTCACGTGTACTATGTGAATCTTGTTCTTAGATTCACAAAAGCTTTCCTTGATGAAGCTAAAAGAGGATCACAGTTGAAGAAAGTGTGGCCCAGGGTTGATTGATCAGTAATTGAAGAACTTCAAAGTTTCTGTCTCTCCTCACACTCGTTAAAGGTTCAGCAAGAGAGTCTCACGAAAATATCTACCGTGCAATTGATACGTATCACGTGGTAGCGTTTAAACAATCATCTAAAAGTAAGTTTTTAACTATTAGAAGCTGATGTTACTGCTGAGGAGATTAGGAAAGTTCTCTTTTCCATGCCTAATAATAATTCTTCGGAACCAGATGGGTTCCCCAACGAGTTTTTTAAATCTACTTGGCAGATCATTTCTCAAGATTTTATCGTTGCGGTGCAATCTGTCTTTAGATTTGGATTCTTACCGAAAGGAGTTAACTCTACCATTCTAGCATTCGTACCTAAGAAGTTGGATTCAATGGAGATGAAAGACTTTCGTCCAATTGCTTGTTGCAATGTCCTTTATAAGGTTGTTTCTAAAATCTTGGCTAACCGACTTAAGGTGCTTCTTCCTAGAATTATCTCTGAGTCTCAGTCTTCTTTCGTTAAAGGGAGGTTGCTCATGGAGAATGTCCTTCTCGCTACTGAGCTAGTCAAGAATTATCATTCGGATAGTGTGTCTCCAAGGTGTTTAATGAAGATATACATCTCTAAAGCGTTTGATTCAGTGCAGTGGGACTCTGTGTTAAAGAGTTTGTGTGTGTTGGGATTTCCGGTGAAGTTTATTCATATGATCAAGCTCTGTATCACAAGTCCTTCTTTTTCAGTGCAAGTTAATGGTGATCTTGCTGGATATTTTCAAAGCTCTAGAGGACTTTGTCAAGGTTGTTCTTTATCCCCTTACCTCTTTGTACTGTGTATGAATGTCCTGTGTATGAAGATTGATAGAGCAGTGGTTCAAAAGAATTTTAAATTTCATCCGGGATGAAAAAGTCTCTCTCTAACGCATCTTTGCTTTGCTGATGATCTCATGGTCTTTGTTGAGGGGTCTAAGAAGTCGATTGAAGGTGCTCTTTCAGTTTTTGAGGTGTTTGAAGCTTGGTCTGGATTAAAGATTAGTCTGGAAAAGTCTACAATTTATATGGCTGGGGTTGGAGAAGCAGAGAAGTCTAGTCTTTTGACAAACTTTCCTTTTGCGAAAGGGGAACTGCCAGTGAGGTACTTAGGTCTTCCTCTTATGACCCAATGTATGAGGAGGCAAGATTATTTGCCCATGGTGGAAAGAGTAAGAAACACAATAAGCACATGGACGTGTAGGTATTTGTCTTATGGTGGGAGATTACTTCTTATAAATTTTGTATTGATGAGCTATATCAACTTCTGGTCTGCTGCTTTTCGACTTCCAAGTGCTTTTGTGAAGGAAGTGGAACAAGTTTTCTCAGCTTTCTTTTGGACTGGTCTGAAATTAAAAGCTAGTAATGCTAAAGTAGCATGGTCAGAAGTCTGTTATAAGAAAATGGAGGGAGGCTTGGGAGTGAGAAGCTTAAAAAAAGTAAACAAAGTTAACGGATTGAAGCTTATTTGGAGATTTCTGTCGGGAGAATCGTTGTGGAGCAATTGGATAAATAAGAATTTACTCAAAGGGAAAAAAATTTAGGAGATTGATGTTGTTCAAAATGGTTCGTGGATGGGGCGTAAAATGTTGATTTTGAGAGAGGTGGCTAAACAGTTTTATAGACGTGAGGTTGGTAATGGGAGGCAGGTTTCATTCTGGTTTGATATCTGGTCTTATAAAGAAGCTTTGTTTGACCTGCTTGGTCCTCGAGGGATTATCAAAATGGGTGTGGGAAGAAAAGCCACCTTGGAGGAAGCAGTTACTGCTGTGAGAAGGAGGCGAAGACATTGTATGGCTTTGCTTAATGGTGTAGAGGCTGAGTTAAGTACGACTGCGAGTAAGTTTGTCCCTAGTAAGGATGATTCTAATCTTTGGAGGGGTAAATCTGGTTTCAAGCAGAGGTTTTCTACGCGTGAAACTTGGGAGTTGCTGAGTGGAAGTAAGCCTTTGTGTTCTTGGGAAAAAGCTATTTGGTTTTCTCAAGCCACTCTTAAATATGCTTTCATGGCGTTGTTATCTATAATAGATAGGCTCTCTACTTCAGATAGAATGGCTCGGGGGAGTCATAGTATCGATACGGAGTGTCTGCTTTGTAAAAGGGCTGCTGAAACAAGAAGTCATTTGTTTTTTTGCTTGTGACTATTCGAGCCATGTCTGGGAGTTTATTGCAAAAGGGATATTAGGGAGCTCTTTTACTAATGACTGGTTTGGAATTATAGTGCTTATTTCTGATGAGACAAGGGAGAGAATGAGCAGATTCTGTCTTCGCTATGCATTTCAGGTTGTTCTATATGCAATCTGGTATGAGCAAAACAAAGTTAGGCATGGAGAGAACCTGATGCATATACCAGTAATGTGTAAGACATTTGACAAGAGTATCCGAAACAAAATTACCTTGTTGAGCAAGAGTAAAACCAAGGGAATGGAGAAGCTAATGCAGTATTGGTTTTCTATTAAATTGTAACAGGGCTTAGGGATAAGAAACTAGATGCAAATTCTAGTATAAAGGATTGCATATAATGTATAAAGGATTTTTTGAATCAATTTAATATTAATTCAAAAAAAAAGTAAGTTTTAATCTTTATCACATGAATGAAACATTTGGCTCGTTCAAGCATCACGGGTGATGCTTGGTGTGTCTTCTTCTCCTCAAATCTGAACTTTGAGTTACGTGGTTTGATTTTGATGTGGGTCTTAAGTTTGGTCGATTCAACCAGCCCGTTTTCACTAATTTAAACGTTTTTGCAAGCGTCGTTTTACGTATTAGGGTTTCCATTTGATGTTGTCTCCTCTAGCTGCATATCGTCCTTGTAGTCTTGTTTCAGAATAAACTGAGCAGACTGATTGTTTGCTCCAACAGCTGCAACTTTCCAACCACCATAGTCAGGGGCGGAGCTACATGGGCAGGAGGGGGTCAGCTGACCCCAGTCAAATATGAATAACTAGGTTTTTAAGCTTAAACGAGTGACTAATAGTTGGTCTGGTGGTTAAATTCCTCTGCTATGACCCCAATTACTAAAGATTGATTCCCTGCACCTCCTTCTTTTTTAGTTCTTTTTCTCTTAATAATTTGGGCCTTACAGCCCAATTAAAAATGTATAAGTTTTTTTTTTTGTGAACGTCTAAGCTAAACAAGTTTTTATAAGTTTATATAAGTTTTTATTGTCAAAAACGAACGTCTAAGCTAAACAAGTTTTTGATTGCTTTTCAGATGTATATATGTTTTTTTGTTTTTTTACATTTTCATTGTTTTTGATCTTTTAAAATATTTCTTATGGAAAATATCACTCTTTTGTCACATTTTTTTTCTTTCAGTTGTTTTATAATTTATTTAGTTCATTTTTCACTTTTGTTTTAGATTTTATTTAACAATTAAGTTTTAAACATCTTCAATACTTTTAGCTTCAAATATAATTCTCCTCAAAATTAAAACAGCTTAATAGTTTATATCACAAATAATTTAAATTAATATTAATGAATTATATTTATATAAATATAAATTTAATTAATTTAAGCTATGATCACAGTATAAATATTTTCTGGCTCCGCCACTGACCATAGTTCTCACTCAGGTCACTCATGAACCAGCTACGCCTGCGCAACAGGCATGAGTTCTTGGTACATGAAGGTGTAGCGCTGCTGCGCTTGGACACGTGTTGATGAGTATGTGGGCATCAGACGTGATGAAAGCAACGGCACAGACAAGATGTACATTTTCTCAGAGGAGGTGGAGGTTTGGAGAAGCTTGGAGGTGACTTTCTTCTCAACTATTAAAACGACACCGCTCTTTGGATAAGATACCAATGGCGGAACAGGTGTTTCCTATGGCGTACTCGACTTTGTAGAGATGGCCTTCAGGAGAGAAGATTGTCGTACGGGTACGGCTCTCTTATCGGTTCTTCTTTGATTTTGCTTTGCGAAGGTGAGAGATGGGAGCTTGTTCTCCAAGATAAAACAAAATAAAGTGACAAAAGTAAACTTTTCTCTGTTTTCTTATTGGGTCACTGATCCAAACATATTGCTATTCGATTGAGTAAAAGCTCAAATAATAAATTCAGCCCAACATACCTAGATTTTGATCAGCGCAACTACACGGGTGTCTTTTTAAAACTGAATTAGGAAAATTGTAAATCATGTCGGTTGCATATTTCGGTTTTGCGGTGAAACAATCAAATTGATATCTTAGATAAGTAACTTGTAATTTGATAATTCTTTTCAAAGCATAAAGTTTTCTAGTGTTTTTGTTTGTAGAATATATTCACTTTGTTTTAATATATAACATTTTAGAGAATTATTTTACTTAAAATTAGATGATATTTTCAATTTTCAATGTAAGTTTTTTCATTTTTCTTTTTATATATTTTTTCTGTTCTCCCATTAGCGTTTTTATTTGTTGAATTATGATTAGGTGAACAGTTAATAATGTTTTTGGTTAGATAAAATAGAAAATTAAATATTTTTCCTTTAATTTTTCTGAACAAATCAAATTTCAGAGTAAGAAAATCAAAATAGTGTAATTTAGTTGATTATATATATATATATATATATATATATATATATTAGTATGTCTATATTTTTAAATACAATTTTTTGACAGAAAAAATATGTTATAATTTTTTCTATTATATAGATTACAATTTATTTGTATATCAAATTATTTTTCCTTTTAGATTTAACGTTTGAACAGTATTCTAGAAAAGGGTATTAATATATATTATTAAGTATATTTAAGTTTAGTTATATGGTTATAAACAAATTCTATTATATATTTTAGAATGGTATTAATTTGATAAAAAATTAATAATATTAAAGAAGAATCGAAATAATAACATTAATCATATGTTATGGTTGCATAACATAATACTAAGAATAATATACAAGATCATATGTATATATGAAAATTCTCTCATATAGACCTTTTTAAGTTTTTATCACAAAATATACTTCAAAAACTAAAATGACCAAAATAGAATTTCTATTTTAAAAAATTTTAAGTTCTTTTTTCTAAAAAAAAATTTGAAATCCTATCACCAAAACCCCAATTCTAAACTCTAAACAAAAAGATCTAGGATTAATTAACTCATAAGTTATAAGGGTATATTTACTCATTTTTTTATAAAATATTTAAGTCTATTTTGGTCATTTTTATTTTTAAAATCTATATTTGTGACAAAAAAGTTTTTTAGGTTTATCCTAAAGAATATCTCATGTATATATAATCATATATTATGATTGCATAACATGTGAATTTTTTGTTAAAGACGTAACCATAAAATAGTTAAGGCCTACAAAATAATTATATATGTTGTTAATCCTAATTAGATTAATATGTTGAAACTTTTTTTTTTATAAATCAGTTGGTATATTTAATTTATTGGTCTTGAATACAGACTTTTTATTTTAGCATACTAAAAAAATTTGAGATTCTCTTTAAAGATAGTATATTGTTGGTTTATTAAGATGTTAATAAGAAATATCTGTGACTATATTTATTATAAAAACTAAATGATAGGATAATTAAATGTGATAATTTATTAATAAATGGCCTTAAATGAAATATCACACATGAAAAAAAATCATGACTTCTGTTTTAATATATAAGATTAGATTTTGACCCGCGCTTTCAAAGCGCGGGATTATTTTTGAAACAAACTTGCATATTTGAGTATGTATCTACATTTAAATGTTACATATGACCGTTATATTCAGTGTTTTGAAACACGGTCCGGATCCGTGGTTAAACCGACATAACCGATAATGTTATATGTAACAAGTTTAATTTTTTTTTTAAAAAACTCATTATTTAAAATTCCATAAAACCCACAAAAAAACCCGCTAAACCTGGGATTCGGCTACCGGTTCAAACTGCATGATTATTTTTGAAACAAATCAAGTTCATATGATATAAATTGGTATTTTTGGTTATGTATCTACATTTAAATATTAAAAATGAAGTGTTATATTCAGTGATCTGAAATACGATCCGGACCTGTAATTAAACATACAAAAATGATGATTTTATAAGTAACCTAGTTTGTTTTTTTTTTTAAAAAAAAATTGTTATTTAAAAATTCTATAAACAAAAATTATATGATATATATTTGTATGTTTGAATTTGTATCTACATTTAAATGTTACACATAAAGCGTTATATTCAATGTTCTGAAACACGACCCGAACCCGTGGTTAAACTGACAAAACCGATGACTTTATATGTAACCTGATTTGCTTGTTTTAAGAGCTCATTAGTTTAAAATTATATAAACCCCGATTCCGCTAAAACCTGGGACTCAGCTACGGTTCAAAGCGCGATATTATTTCCAAAGCAAACCAAATTTATATGATATAAATTTTTATTTTTGATTATGTACTTACATTTAAATGTTAGATATGAAGGGTTATATTTAGTGTTCTGAAACTCGATTTGGACCCGTAGTTAAACCGATAAAAATGATGATTGTATATGTAATCCGGTTTGGTTTTAAAATAAAAAAATCATCATTTAAAAATTCTATAAACCCGCCAAAAAATCGTTAAAATCTGAATATAACTTGTTAAGTTACTTTATATTTATTACTTGGTATAGTAATTTAATTTTGTACATAAATTATGTATATAAATTTATTTCTTATTATATAAATGAAAAAATTAATTAGTATTCGTTTTCAACTATAGTTAATATTAATTATGAATTTTATTATTTAAACATAAATATTAAAAAGATATGTATATTTAAATTTTAAATAAAAGATATTTAAAGATATTATCAAATCTAATCTTAGGAAAATATACTTAAGAATATCTTTTTAAATATCTTATTTTGAAATATTAAAATAATTGGTTAAGCAGAATATACATTTAAATGATAATTAAGTTAGTTATTGGAGAATAAAAATGAAATTAAATAAATGTTATAGCCCAACATAGACAACTTGCAAGTAGATAAAATATGTTCATGTTTTAATAGTATTGACTAGATTTTGGCCCGCGCTTTCAAAGCGCGGGTTTATTGTTTGATGCAAATTTTATAATCGCATTTGCTATACATGTAGAATGTGGGATAGAATTGTTTAATTCATTGATTTCATCAAGGGACAATTGCACAAATACCATTTTTGTGATACCACAATTCAACTTTACCATCATTTAAGGGACATTTTCACATTTTCATAAGACTAACAATATACAATTTAATTCGTTGTTTAACTTTCTTCTACATATAAAACAATCAATAGTAGGGATATAGAATAATCAGATAAATATATGAATTCATGGACAAAAATGATGCCTAATGGTTGATTAATTGAGACACATCATGGTATAAATTTAGATAGAGTTCAAGGACGAAAGATGTTAAAAGACTAATATCGTAAAAAACATGTATACATGAAAGGACCAAGAGACATGAATTATGACTTAAAGCAAGTGTATGAGAAAAAAATTGACGTGATGAAACTCTTGTAAAAGTATGATCATGATGACATTATTTTGTGTAGAGTTAAATGATCATACATCTACTGATATATGTTGATGGTATAAGGTTTAAGTAAGCTTAATATTAACATTAATGATAGAATGATTAAATGTGATGAGTTTGTAGTAGATAGTCCAAAATTAATTTTAATTATATTATGATAATATAAATTTTATGAATGAAGAAGAGAAGATGTAAATACAATACTATTAATATGTCACTAATAGTAATATATAAGGACCACCCAATTTTGTCTATAATTCACCACTTTCTCTACCACACATAAAATATTATGTAAAAATATAATAGAAGTCAAGACTTTTTTTTATATGTGATTTTTAATTTGAACCATTTTTATAAAATTTATAATATTTTATACAGTTTAGTTATAATATCTTTATTTTTATTTGAAATACAAAAAAAAAAATTAAAGAGTATTCTAACAAAATATTTTAAAATCTTTTTAGAATCTTTTTAAATTTTATTCCCAAATTAGTTAATTTCAATATTAATTGTCATTAAACGTAATTAGTAATTAAATTTTAATTTCGTTTTGATTATAAAGAAAAAGGAAATTATATAAATATTTTAATTATGTTTAATGATAATAACAGTTTAAATTGATTAATTTTCAAAAATGCATTTTACATTGTAAATAAAGAATGTTGATTTCATGACTTATTTTATGTGTGATTTTTTTCTTAATTTATACTACTTATAAGTCATATTTTTAAATATGTCTATCATATAACATTAAAGTTTATGTCATTCATTTTTAACACAAACTAATAAAAATAATTAACATATTCCAACGTTAAGTGAAACACAAAGCTAATAAAATTTTGTTTACTATTCTTATTTAACTCGACTTTACTTGTGAATAAATTTCACTTGTGTCTTTTTCTAATTACATTGAATTGATATCTATTCATTTTTAAAAATTTAGTATATTTAAAAAAAAAAAGATTTTAAAAGATTTTTTTTAGAATTCTCTTTAAGATATTTATTTTATTTCAAATAAAAGAAAAGATATCAAAATATATGTAATTAAGTTATGTAAAATGTTACTAAGATATAAATGAAACATTACTTCCTAGGAATGGTCCATTTTTAAAATATCACACATGAAGAGAAGTTATGACTTCTGTTTTAATATAATAGATAATAGATAATATTCAAACTATGTTCTTTGTTGAAATCCCAGTACATGCTGTAATTATTCTGTATTATAGAGATACTTATATACTAGACTGATTTTTTTTTACAGTAAACGGATATTCTATTACTCAAACTTGAAATGGTTTGGATAACTAAACCGGAATAGAATAACCAACAAAACAGAGTTCTCTATGAAATACCTTGCATTCTTAGCTAAAGAATTCCATTTTGAGCTTTTGGGATATAATGTATCTCGAAGTCTGGAAAACATATGAGCATTGTCTTGATTGGTTCCAGTTCATTGCAAAACTAGGCCAAGCTCCTGGGTCCTTAAAAAACGTTGGCATGACAAATGTTGAAACATGTTCTCCATTGTCTATTGTAGTGCTTCTACTTCCGAATGTAAAGCCCTCTCTCTCCTTCTTAAGTTTCATATTCCCATAAGTTGATGGTTCCCAAGATTGTCCATCCATACCCAAATCACATCCACTAAACTGAGCTGTGGAGGTCCATCAACCATCCACCATATAACCTGAACTTCATTTCTACTTTGCTCTTGTGATCCAGAGATAACATACTCATTTGCATTAAACCAAGTCTTGCATTCTCTCCGCATATCAAAATAATTCGAGAAGATCTCTGTCGATTCCCCTGAATAATTTATCATTCAGAGCCTTTCAAATATATCAAATTATCCAAGGGTAAGGATCCTTGTTTAACTCTAGCTCAACAATGCTATTCTTCTTCCAGAAAGGTAATCCATATCAGTGAAAATACTTCCTACTGAGAACCTATTGGGATTGGATGGTGTTGTTGATAGTGACCAGACTTGCAATGCAGGAGGGCATTCGAAGATGGCGTGCGTAAATGTTTCCTCTTGCTCTCCACATCTTGGACAATAATTATCGCATCGCATATTCCTATGGTTTAAACTTTTTGTAACAGCCACATGACTCTTTATCAATTGTCACAAAAGATGGCATATCTTCTGAGGTGCTTTTACTTTCCAAGCAAAGGTTTTGAGCTTAGTTATACTTGCATCACATACCTCAAACTCCTCTTCTTTCTTCAGTAGGTTTCGGGCAACCCAATATCCAAATTTAACAGTGTATTGACCATTCTTAGTGAAATTCCAACATAATGTGTCCCTGTGATGTATTGAACTTATAGCCCTACTCTTACTGACAGGTATATCATCTGGTGTCACGTAGTCTTCCAGTATACCCACATCCCACTTTTTTGATTCTTGATTAATAAGATCGCTTACTCTCATATTTGGATGCAATACTGAAACTGTGGACTGAGCTGGTTTGGCTGGTATTTTTGGAAGCCAAAGATCCTCCCATACCTTAACCTCGTAACCATAATTTTTATGTCTGATATCCAAAAGAAAAAGGCTCCGGGCCGCTGAGATGCTGATCTAGACATAAGATGGACTACTAACATAAATTGTTCGCAAAGGCGAGCTCATTCTATAGTATCTTTCCTTAAAAATTCGTGGCACTAAGGAGTCATGGAATTGGGTTAGTCTCTATAGTTTTTTTGCTAGTAACACCAAATTAAAATCATGGATCATATGAAAGCCAATCCCACCCTCCTCTCTTAGTAAACAAAGCATCTCCCATCTTGTCCAGTGAATTCCTCTCTTCAGCTGGTTTGAACTCCATCAGAACTGTGCATAGAAAGCATGACATCACATATGTTGGGATAGCTAGCAACATAGATTTGATCAAGACTTATTTTCCTCCTTTTAAAAGCCATCTACATGTTCATCAGTTTACTGTGTTCCTTAATCTATCTTTTAGAAATGCAAAAAGTCTACTTTTAGAGTCACTGATATCTTCAGATATGCCTAGTAAGTTCACATTCCTCATTCATTTTGTATTCCTAGTGTATCCTTGATCTGTTGTCTCACATTCACACCAATCCTTTTACCAAAGAGTAGAGAGGATTTATCAAAGTTAATTCATTATCCTGAGGCTTGTCCATATTTCCGGACCATTTTCATTACTTTTACACATGTACGGGGTTCCGCTTTACAAAAAATAATCTATCATCACTAAAGAGAAGATGAGATATCGATGGACACATGCGTGTAACACGCATCACCATTATTTTCCCACAGTTCCCTACATAATTAAAAAGCCTAACGATGTATATTCTAGACAGTTAACTCATACCATATTGACTAATGTTATGTATGCCATATTGTATATCACGATCACTACATAGTAATATTAGTCGTTGAAGAAAAATTATCTCTACAGTTTACACTTTACACTTACTTTTTGAACTTCTGATACATATTTGGTTAAGAAATATTTTATTTACTAAATTCTTCTGGAGGTTGAAATGTAGTAAATAAAATATTTACTATATTTGAAATGTTAAGAGGTTGTTTTTCATAAAATTAACGTATGATATATTTTTAGCATAGATATAGGTGTCTACAACTGTATTTATACACATACTTCAGTAGCTAGACAGTGGCTTGTGGGGTGTGTATCACATTTGCATCAGTTCAATGTGCATGGATAAAATTTACATTTCTTTAACGTATGTGCATAAAGTAAAATAAGTGAAAAAAAAAAAAAAAAAAAAAAAAAAAAAAAATAATAAGTGTACACAAATACAAACCATGTTTTATATTAAAAAAAGATACCGTGTTACAGTTTTTCTTCTTATTAAAGTACAACATGAAAACACAAATAACCCCTTTTATTGAATCATATGAAACAAGTGATTAAAGGTTCCACACATAAAAGAGATCATTAAAGCAACAATTCTGAAAAACCGAAAGCTTTGGAGACGCCTAGAGACTCTTAATCAAGCTGGACATTTGAAGCCAGGTGGTGGAGTCTTTCCACAGGTGACGAGAACCTCAAGAGCAATGGGGATGATAAGGTCGACGTTGAGAAGTTTGGCTTTAATGGTGGTACATAAACAAACGGCTGCGTCTAGGTCAACTAAACCTCCCAAAACCGGACAACACTTTTCTTTAGCGTGACTTTTACCAAGCCCGATGTGAATCAAACCTCCAAGAACGTCCACACAAGCGCCTAGCTTCAACGTGTCGATTGGGCAAGTCTCTGGCTTAGGTGGACTTGGTGTTGGTGGCGTTACGACCGGTGGAGTTGGTGTTGGCGGTGTTACAACAGGTGGGGTTGGGGGTGGCGGTGGGCAAGGTGATGGTGGCGTTACGACGGGTGGAGGCTTATGGGTGGGTGGTTTAGGGGTGGACGGTGGTGGTTTAATAGTTGGCGGTTTGGTAGGCGGTTTAGGGGTGGACGGAGGTGGTTTAACGGTTGGTGGTTTCGTGGGCGGTTTAGGGGTGGACGGAGGTGGTTTAACGGTGGGCGGTTTTGTGGGTGGTTTCGGGGTAGGGTGAGGTTTGGTTGGGGGTTTAGGATGTGGGTGAGGTTTGACGGTCGGCGGTTTGGTAGGAGGTTTAGGATGTGGGTGTGGTTTGACGGTAGGTGGTTTGGGAGGTTTGACTGCCGGAGGTTTAGGCGGTTTGCTGGGATGTTTCGGCGGTTTGTGGGGGCGCGGTGATGGTTTAGGAGGGCTACAGTCGCAAGCAAAGGAGACAGCAAGAAAGCCAAGGAGGAGAAGGATAAGAAAAGAGAGGTTTTGTGTGCGAGACCCCATTTTCTAGAACGAGGGTGTGGTTTGTGCAAATGAGTGGTGAGTAAGAAAGATATAGAGTGTATCATTTTATAGAAAAATTACCAATATATATTTGTTTTATATAGTTTTCAAATATTGCAAGCATCAAACTATGATTAGATTTTTTTAAATGGATTTCGTTTTTTTGGTTTTTTTTTTTTTTGAAATTTGGATTTTGTAGCACGTGTTAAGTCACTTGGTTACAAATGTTACACTTCCCTAAGTTGGCATATATTTGTAGTTGTAGAAAAACTGGGACAACAGTCGTTATAATACTTTCATAGGAGCTCTATTGTGTGGATGAACCTATGTGAAGAGGATAGAGAGTTACATGACTAAAGATTTTACCAAGTTGAATCACACAAGCGTAGTCAAGTGGTACCGCAGATTTAGTAAGAGCATCTCCAACCCCACTCCAAAACCCACTCCAAACTCCATTTTGCAGTAAAATCTTCTCCAACCCTACTCCAAAACTCACTCCAAAATGGAGTAACAAACATGATTACTCCAAATATGGAGTAAACCAACTCATTACTCCAAAATGGAGTTGAACTTTTTTATTTATCAAATAGTCCTCCACATTTATATATGTTT